TAATTTGATATGTAAACCCCTAATTCACAGTTTTTTAAAAAAAGAATATTGTTCAGGTAATGTTTGATGTTTTAGTCCCTCACCCTGCCCCTTCCCTTCTAGAGGTAAAGAACTCTAGTAGTAAACACACACGGCTAGGTTTGTAGTGTTTAAAGAGTTTTACTGCTTACCAGGAGGTCATCAGTTCAAACTTACCAGCTGCTTCACAGGGGGAAAAAAAGTAGCCAGTCTGCTTCTGTAAGATTACAGTTTGGGAAACCCGTTGGGGCATTTTAACTCTGTCCTTGATGGCAACGAGTTAAAGATGAAATAATCTCAGGTGTAGGATAAAGTCATTATTTAGATTTCACAGCCAGAAAGAAGAGGAACTGGTATTTAAATCTAGTTCTGTCTTCCAGTGGCCATGCTGTATCCATTACATCATACTATTCAAAAGAAGCTGAAAATACTCTTAGTTTGATTTTATAGTATTTATTTTAATTCCCTTATGAACATTTACATATTTTAACTAATAGATACCATTATGGTAACATATTTAGCTAATAACTAAAGGGAAAGGACTTTCAAGATTTAAATTTTGATTTTAGTAGTATTTCTTTGAAGTATGGATATTTTATTTTCAATTCGAGTCACCACCAGGAGGATTATCTGCCATCTCAGTGCTCCTAGACTTCAGCAGACTTGTTTATTTCTTCCCCATTGCATAATCCCTATGCATTATGTTGGTCAGAAGGCAAGAATGCTACAGATGTTTTTCTTCCAAACCTCAGCTTGCTCAGAGATTTTAAATAAACCTTTAGAATGTCTGTACTTAGCCCTCAGCCCTCATAACCCAAAGATTTTCACATTTCTTTTTACAGTTCAATTTTTCTAGTGATTGAGTAAAACATATTTGTGAGCACAGATGTTTTCCTTAAAAGCAGTTAATGAAATCTGGGGGGGAAAGACCAGTGTGGAAATACTTTAGGTTCCTCCTGTAATATGATAATCTCAAAAATACTTCCTTCTCATGTACTTCACGCTGGTTTCTTTTTTTTAAAGGAAGGAAATAACTAAACTGATCATCAAAATATCCTGTTGATCCCTCCCACTCCCTAAGAGTAAACTAAAAATGATTTGGGCCAACTAGGACCGCTCGACCAACGGACCGCTCGATGCTGTGAAACTCACATTGTTTGCGTACTGGTGGAGGGCCTCATTAGGGGGTAAATTTGCTTTTTCCGTGTGTTTGCCAGTAAGGATTCCTGTCTTTTACGGCACTTGCCATTTGGATTGTCTCCTTCCTAAACTGGGCAGTCTTAAACAATGCAAACCATGAACTGTTTTTTCTTACTCTCCATTAAAAAGAATACTCTTGAGTTCTAAAGCATTTGAAGCTGAAGATATTGGTCAGTGAGATATTGCCTGGCTAGGCTTCAGCATTGTGCCCGATTTGTTGGGCCTCTCAGGGCCTGAGTTCTCTGTGCTTTAACAAATGAGGTACAGTTCTCAAGAGAATCAGTGAAGCTTGCTTGTTGATCCTGTATTCTCATCCAGAGGAAGTAGATCTCTGAGCATGTCTAAGGAAGGGTAAGTGTGCTTGTTATTTTTTCTCCTCCTTTCTCAGCCAAGAGAGGTGCCCTAGTCATGAGTGAAAATTAATAAGCAAGGCTGCCAGACAGAGTGGAGGCAGAGACGGAAAGATATTTAGTTCAAAGTTTAGTGTTTCATGTGTAATCTATGCAGTTAGGATTGCTATTTTGAAAAACAGCATCAAGGATGGATAGTCTTACTAAGATATACTCACTACGGTGGAGTAAAAATGTTCTTATTTGGTAAGGGAATGTTTATGAAGATTGGTAGCAAACGGTGGTTAACTAGAGGATTTTACATACAACTGAGAGATGCTTAAAATTCTAAGGCATAATTTTTATAAATTGTATTTATAGAAAATGAGAAAAATCAAGGGAAAAGCAGCATGTGATTTTTTTTGTTTCTTTAGGAAATGGAGGGAAAAAATAAATCAGAGTAGAATTCCCTGTTGTAACATAAGCTATTTCTATTAGGTTGTTGTTTTGTTTTTTTTTTACAGGATTTTCTCCTGTGCTGTACAGTCTGCATTGTTACAGGCTCTCTTTTTGGCCAGTATATATACAGGGTCATGTTCTGGCATTGATTTGATGACAGTGAGCTTAGATTTTTGGTTTACATAGTAGACGACAATTAAGTTAATGATAGCATACTGCGTATTACCTATTTCCAGCCTTCAGATACCACTAGATTGGATTAATTTTAGAAAGGCATTCCCTTTGATTAAATAGGACATAGATCCTTCAAAATATTTTTAAAAATGGTAAATTATATTTTCATTTTCAGGAAGCTCTACATTTTTCTGGTTCTTTTGTTGTACAAGAAATTTTAAAGTTGTTTCATAATTGAATTTATAATGCATTTTAATCTTAAATTGATCATGAGCGAAGTAAAATTAGTCTAATTTATTGTGGTTCTTAAACTTCATTTTTTAATAAAGAGGGTCAGGATACTAATAGTCTTACATTAAGTTTCAATATCTTATGCAATCATTAAAAATTTGAGGTTTCATTTATTTTATTTTTTTGAGGTTTCATTTAATGTGAGTATTACAAAAGGACTATCTTAAATTTTTTTCTTTATTTTGTAGAGACTATACAAAGCAATCCAACAGTTTCTACAGGTATGATATAGTGACATTGATTTTGTTCTTCAAGTTGTGCAACTTTTCTCACCCTTCTAAGTTTTCCATCCTTCAGTAAAAAACCCACTGCTCCCTTAAGGTTCCTGTCTGATCTTTTTTTAAAAAATCATTTTATCAGGGGCTCATACAACTCTTATCACAATCCATACATTCATCCATTGTGTCAAGCACATTTGTACATTTGTTGCCATATCATACTCAAAACATTTTCTTTCTACTTGAGACCTTGGTAACAACTCTTCATTTTTTCCCCTCCCTCCTGTCTGATCTTTTGAGTTGCATTTGCCAATTTGATTTCATATAGCTAATTCTTAAAAGCATAATGCTCAAGGAAGACTTTTTCACTAGTTAAACTAAGAAGGCTTCAGAAGGTAGTTTTGGTTTAAGGTTTAAAGATAATCTCAGGGTAATAATTTCAGGGTTTCTCTACCTTCCGTGACTCCAGAACGTTTAAGAGTCCATGAAAATTCAAAATTCAGTTTTACATTTCTCCTTTTTTGATCAGGATCTTCTATGGACCTTTTGACCAAAATATTCAATAATGGTTATGGATTGTGATAAGAGCTTTACAAGCCCCCAGTAAAATTATTTTTAAAAATTCAATAATGGTAGCTGGGCACCATCCAGTTGTTTTCATTTTTCAGTTAATTAATCATTTTTTAAGTTTTATTGATACATAATGTTTTCGTTTTTGTAGCAGAGGAGATAGTTGTTCATGGAGGCAATTAGCCATATATACCTATGCTGTTTTATGGCTTTCTTTTTCTTCTGAGGCTCCAACTGTATAGAGACTTTTTTTGTTTTTTCGCCTCGGATAGCATTGCAAGCTTTTTAAGACCCTAGACCAGTGGTTCTCAACCTTCTTAATGCCAAAACCCTTTAATACAATTCCTCATGTTGTGGTGACACCCCCCCCCCCCAATGATAAAATTATTTTCGTTGCTACTTCATAATTGTAATTTTGCTACTGTTATGAATCTGGCAACCCCTGTTAAGGGGTCATTCGACCCCCCCAGAGGAGTCACGATCCACAGGTTGAGACTGCTGCCCTAGACCATTTTGCAACACTCTAGAAGGGTAGAACAAAGTATTAAACACATTACTAAGTCAATTTATTGGATAACCCATGGAATCATGACCCTAAGCTTCCAAACCAAGGAACCAAATGCCCTGAGGTGCTAGGCTACACATGAGCAACCTCAGCAGATACCCTTGTATTGCTAATGTATCACTTTTTACAGACATATAACTTAATGACAACAATTACAGTGATTAGCTTACAACCCTATCTTAATCTATGCAATTTCTCAGTCAATATTAACTTTCCTTTTCCTCCTCTTTCTACCCCTGGTAACCATGAATAAATTGTGATCTCTGTGCATTTGACTTTTTCTGTAGGTAAAATCATATATTTCTATCAAGACTTCCTTTCTTCTTCTGGCTGAGCAGTGTTTCATTGTATGTATGTACCACATTTTGCTTATCCAGTCATTAGTTAGTATGTAGGTGGTTGTGATAGTGTTGCTGTGGACATTGATGTAGAAGTCTCTTTGTGTGTCTGCTTTCAAGAGCTAGGAGTGGAATTGTTGGGCCATGTGGTAGTTCTATTTTTAGTATTTTGAGGATCCGCCACACTGTTTTCCACAACAGCTGTATGATTTTACATTCCCATCAGCAATGGATAAAGGTTCCAATTTCCCTACATCGCTGCTAACATTTGTTATTTTCAGTTTCTCTTTATCTTAGCCATCCTAGTATGAGTGAAATGGTCTGCCTCATCGTAGTTTATTTGATCTCTGATGGCTAATGATGTGGAGCATCTTTTCGTGTCTGGTGGCCATTTGAATGTCCTCTCGGGTGAAATGGCCATTCAAGTCCTTTTTAGATTATTGTTGTTGTTATTAAGTTTTATATATAAGGGGATAAATTTTAAAAATATTGCTACAAAATCATAGTGTTACCTTTATTAAAAATAAATGTGAAGCTCATATCTTTTAATTAACAAAGTTTTTAATTTTCATGTGGTCCTGTTTATTTATTATGTCTTTTGTTATTTGTGCTTAATAGGTTACTCATTGTTAAAAGCTAAGCCCGACAGTGTTGTTTCATCTTATTTTAAGAATTTTGATTTTAGTTTGCATATAAGATTTTTAGTCCATGTTGAATTTGGTTTTGTGTGTGGTATGGTATGAGACATACATCCTGTTTCATTTTCTGCATGTAGGAATCCAGTTTTCCCAGCATCATTTATTAAAGAGGTTCTTCTTTCCCCGTCTAATAGGCTTAGCACCCATGTCAGAAATTCACTGACTGAAGATGTGTGAATTTATTTCAGTATCCTCAGTTCCATTCCATTGGGTTACGTGTCTATTTCATTCCAGTGCCAGTCTGAAAACAAATGAAACCCACTACCATACCAACAAGTCAGTGCCAACTCAGAGCCACCCTGGATAGGGTTAGTGGGACTTCAGTCTTTATGGGAGCAGACAGCCTCGTTGTCCCTCAGAGCAACTGGTAGACTTGACCTTGTGGTTAGGAGCCCAGTGCCATTATGTTTCAAAGTCAGAAGTGTGTGTCCTCCTTGTTCTTTTCTTTCAATATTGGCTTTAATGATTGAGGCCTCTTGCCATTCCATATACAGTTGAGGATTGGATTTTTTCTTTTACTGTAAAGAAGGCTGTTGGAATTTTGTTTGGAATTACATTTACTATATAAATAATTTTGGGCAGTATTGGTTGACATTTTAATGCAAAGTTCTAATCCACTAGCATTGAACTTTCTATTTAAATTTTCTTTAATCTCTTTCAGTAATGTTTCATCCCTGGTTAAATTTATTCCTAGTTATTTTACTCATATTGGTGCCATTATGAATGAAATTGTCTCCTCGATGTCATTTTAGGTGTTTCATTGAAGGACTCTTTTTTTTTTTTCAGGACTAGCTCTTTAGGTTTGTATGTTTTCGTTCCTTCTAGCACTGGCTACAAATCTAGTTGTTCAACATCTTTTTGTGATAAGGATTATCATAGATGCTGCTAATTTGTCAGCCTTGTACATGTGGTTTATTTGTAAAGTTGAAAGATTTTAAGAACTGTTTTCCTAGATGTAACCAAAATTCTTGGAAACTAATACTAACTTTTGTTCATGTTAAAGGATATGTTAAAATTCTTGTAGGCTTATCTTTAGGGCCTCTTGGGGCTATTCTTACACTGTTTAAATAGGTAATGAGTAAGTACGTTGGAAATATGTGAGTTATGTTAGTGATGCCAAATCACTTTTATTCTCTGTGCCATTTTTTTTTTTTTTCTTTTTTAATTATTTTATTTGGGGCTCGTACAATTCTCATCACAATCCATACATACATCCATTGTGTCAAGTACATATGCACATTTGTTGCCCTCATCATTCTCAAAACATTTGCCTCCCACTCTAGCCCCTAATATCAGTTGCTCATTTTCCCCCTCCCTCCCCCCTCCCTCCTCCCTCATGAACCCTTCATAGTTCATAAATTATTATAGTTTTGTCATAAGTTACCCTGTCTGATGTTTCCCTCTGCCCTCTTTTTTTTTTTTAACATTTTATTAGGGGCTCATACAACTGTTATCCCAATCCATACACACATCAATTGTGTAAAGCGCATTTGTACATCATTTCTCAAAACATTTTCTCTCCATCTAAACCCCCGACATTAGGTCCTCATTTTTCCCCTCCCTCCCCGCTCCCCCCTCCCGCATGAGCCCTTGATAGTTTATAAATGGGTATTTTGTCATATCTCTCTGTGCCATTTCTAAAAGTAAATAAATATTTTCTTAATAATCAAAATAATTCATGTATTAAATATCCATATATATAGACACTTAGACCATCTGTTACCATTTGATAGCTATGAAATAGTTCCCTAATAATAATAAGAAAACTTAAACTCTAAAATTTATATTTTAAACTTAAAATGTATGGTAATTGAGACAGTGTTATGTTAGTGTAGGAAAGACAGATTATAAAAACCAATAAAATGACCATAAACTCATACATTGTTGGGGGGAAGGGCTTCAAAACGTTTGTGGAAAAGTATAATTAAAAGAGAATGGGGAAAAAAAAAAAGAGAATGGAAAGTTCCATGAACTTTTTGAAGCTTCCCATGTGTTAATTGACTTTCAGCAGTGCCAAATGATTTTCAGTGATGAAAATAAACTCAGCACATTGACTTGATCCCAACTCATAAAGTGACCCTATAGGACTGAGTAGAACTGTTAGTTGGGTTTCCCAGATTTAACTCTTTATGGGAGGACAAAGCCTCACCTTAATCCTGCAGAGCGGTTGGTGTTTTGAACAGCTGACCTTGCAGTTAGCAGCCCAATGTGTGTCCTACTATACCACCAAGGCTCCTCAGTAATGTGGCCAAGGAAATTCAGTGGTGAAGGGACAGTCTTGCTAACATATATGCTGGTAAAACTGGATAGTCATATGAACCTTGACCCTTACTTACCTTACACTGTACACAAAAAGATAATGGAAAATGGGTTGTAAACCTAAGCACAAGAGATAAAGTTTTCTATATAAGATGTAAGAATCATGGAACACAAAATTGATAAATTAGGCTTCATCAAAAAACATTTTAAAGTTTCTACTTTTGAAAGACATTAAGAAAGTGAAAAAGCAAGCTACTAACCGGGAGAAAGTATTCATAATTGTTATATAACTGATAAATTATTTGTGTCCAAAATATATAAAGAAGTTTAAATTTTTTATTTTTATTTTTTAAGAACTTTTTTTTTAAAGAACTTTTATAATAATAAAACAATCCAGTTTAAAGATGGGAAAACATTTGACTTAGTACTTCATACAAGAAGATATGGCAAATAAACATTTGAAAAGATGTTTGACATCACTAGTCATTGAGGAAATAGAAGTTAAAATCACAGCCACACCACTTCACACTGACTAGAATGACTATAGTCAAAACCTTTGAGATTGTGAGGCAA